AAAAGTGTGATGAGTGAGTGAGTGAGTGAGTGAGTGAGTGAGTGAGTGAGTGAGTGAGTGAGTGAGTGAGTGAGTGGCTGGCCTTTGAAATCACCAAAGAGTGTCTAACAATCATTGTGTTATCACTAGGGTCCTAAATGGCGCCTCAGTGGGAAGGGGACTTGTACAGTATTGGATTAACGTTACCTTTGACATCATATGTGAGGCAGCGCGCTGGAATCAGGCTCTCGTCAATTTTTGGGAATGTAGAGTTATTGGTATCATCTTAAAGCTTGTTCACTTGTCTTTATTTGGATGAAAAAAATGTCCATTTATCTTGAATACAAGTCGAGATGTTTGCGAATGAAGGAGGTGGGGGTCACCTATTTTCAGAGGTAAATTTATGAGAAAATGGCCGCCAAAGATTAGTTATTTCCTTAACTTAAGGGTCCGTGGTATCAGAAAATTTCCATTTTTTTTGCCTTTAATCAAAGTTTTTCAGAAAAATCCACACAAAAATGAGTTCTTTTATTGGCATGATAGGTGCTGAGTCAAAAAAACAAAACAAAATTTGCTAAAAATCACAAACCTGTGGAAAAATTCAAGTTTCTTCACTTTGATTATTTTGACGAGAGCCTGATTCCACCACGCTGCCTCACATATGGTCACGAGAGAAGACTTCCGAATTAAACGAATGTAACGCCCATCTCCGATCGGACTAAGCTAAGCGGACGAGGAGCCTTAAAAAAAACTTCTAGACTCATCTCAATTTAACTCACCATGATACCAATAATTAATCTATCTATTGTAAAACAGTCTAAGTCTTTTAGTTTAGTTTTAGTAAGGTTTTACGGCGCTCGCAACTGCATAAAGTCATATGAGCGCCATCAGTTTAAAAGTCTAAGATCTACAGATTTACCACCAGGAGCTCAGGTGCAAGGATCCAGTAGACTAAGGAAGCAGGAGGAGAATGAGGGGGGGGGGGTGTAAAGGGAAATGCGTGCAAAGACAAACTTCAGTTGGCCAACAGAAATTAACACAGAGGGTGTGTGTACTCACCGGTCATCACTCAGGGTCAGTGGTCACTGCATCAACGTCACCGCTTGTCGAGTCGTCATCACTCAAGGCTGTCTTCATCATCATTTTCTTCTTCTTCTTCTTTTTCTTCCTCGAGTCAAGTAGGAGGAGGAGGAGGAGGAGGAGGAGGAGGAGGAGGGAGAGGAGAAGGGCGGAGGAATATCGTCGTGTCTGACGACACACTCGGGACATCTGATTCTGACACACCAGGCTCTCGGTCACAGTAGCTAGCATGTCTCTCGTCGTCCTTGTTTCTCGCGATCGAGACACAAGCGAAATTCTTTCTTGCATTTATTATCTGGGTAGAAAGTTGTATCCTAGCCCAAACTACCCAGC